TTTTTTTTTTTTGCTCCTTTGTGTTGCATTTACTATCACTATAGTTTTATAGATTTACAAGCATAACTGTGTGAGTCAACTCTAATTTAATTTTGGTTTGTCACATAAAACAAGTTGGCTAACACGTTGTTGCTAAAGTTAGCCTGCTAAGAGCTAGCATTCAAATGAAACGAAACTAGATAGCAGATCACTAGCCAGGAAATACAAACATCTCAACTTCTTACACTTTAGCTATATCTAAGTTAGCTGTGTTTGAAATCGTACAAAATGTAAAATATGATCGACGGTAAAGGTCATAGTTGATTTCGCTCTGGTGATTCTTTAGCTTACAGTTGCCTCGATTACAAGCTATTTCCTGATAATGACGTTATCAGCATTTGCTCTCCCACTGGTGGTGTTAGCTATGTTACTACATTGTAGCCTGTGTTTCATCCTGTTTTTTACCGCTTTCAGAGGACTACACTGGTGCAACAATGGTGAAGATATTCATCGGAAATCTCTCTCAAGACACTCAGAAGGAGGAAGTTGAGGCTTTGTTTACTCAGTATGGCACGGTGACAGAATGTGCCAAATACAAAAACTATGCTTTTGTCCACATGGAAGACCGCAAATCTGCCACCAAAGCCATCCGTGAGCTCCATCTGTATAAGCTGAACGGTAGGCCCATGAATGTGGAGCCCAGCAGAGGGAAGAACCAGGGCCCTATGAAGCTCCATGTAACCAATGTAGAAAGGGGCTTTGAAAATGAGCTCCGTGATCTGTTTGAAGAGTATGGCACAGTCACGGAGTGCTCCATTGTCAAGAACTTTGCCTTTGTGCACATGCCCAATTCTGATGAGGCCATGGATGCTCTGAAGGGCCTGGATAACACAGACTTTCAAGGTAAGTAAACATGCTCTTCTACTCTTAAGAATGAAAGGATTGGAGGTGTTTGGGGTTTCGTTACTGTTAGCTTTTAGCCTTTTAAGATTTGCGAGACAATGTTTTTCTTTCTCTCAGGAAAGCACATACATGTTCAGATATCAAAAAGCAGACCCAGAGGGGCACCCGAGGAGGAGTACTATCCACCTCCGCCAAGCAGAGGAGGTTATTATCCTCCTCGTTACCCTGTGGAGAGACCTGAAACCCCCTACAGAGGCCGCATGTCCACTTATCCTCCTCCACTTCCGCCACCCCCTCCCCTGAGACGAGCAGCTTATCCCGAGCGAGACAGCTATGGGGTGGTCGATTACTATGAGAAATACAGGGCCCGTCCTTACAGCAGTGCAGGCTACGATGACAGGCGTGCCATCCCCCCTCCTCCACCTCCTCCCTCAGCGCTGGTCAGAGAACGTCTCGGAATGGGGTCCCTTGACCCATATGAGCGGCGCCCCCTGCCCCCTCCTCCTCCATCCTACATGGCCAGAGACCGAAGCCCCATCAGGCGAACCCCCCTTCAGCCTGCACCGTCAGCGGCTAATGGATACTCCTATGAACGGTCCCGACTCTCTCCAGTTTCCAGAGCTCCGGTATACGCTGCTTCCCTCTCCAGGGCTTCCTTTTCCGAGAGAGGGCCGCCACCGCCGCCACCACCACCTCGCTATGCAAGCTATTAGGCACCTGAGAGTGTAATACAAGGTGAGAACAGAGTAGATGTTTCATGACATCTTAAATCACACTGATATACAATATGTAAAAAAAAAGTTAAAAGTAAATGTGTACCAAAGTTAATCAGAGCTGAATCCATCAGCCAGAGATTTTAATTCCTTGCAGATCTACCTCAGCCAACAGCTCAATACACAACCATTAAACACTGCTGGTAGAAGCCTAAAATATTGCTGCTTTAATATCAAAGATCAGCCTTGCGCGAAATCAAGAGAAAAACGCGCTCCTTGACATGTGTGGTGTGTTCTCTTTCCAGGTTTAGAATATGACAAGATCGTCGTCGTCTGCTGATGCACGTGGCGCTATACATCCCCCTTGTCTATGGCGGATTGCGTTGCGTTCGCCTGAGACTTACTGGAAGATACTGTATTGCGGACAGCCCCGTACTTAAAAACATACAATTCTCTGTCTACAGTTCACGTGTTCTTCTGAGCTGTATATGAATTTTCTGTTGCTCTGCTTGTTTTGCTGTTCAAATCATTAAAATGTTTTGCAGAATAGGATGCTGGATTAGGTGCTTAGTCTGTTCCAGTGTGATGTAGCATTGTTGACGGCCAAAAAGTATACGCTCTGCTTTTCACTCTTTCTAAATGGATATGGCCTCTGGGAAGCCATTTAAATGAAATTCCATGCAGTTTATTTAAAAACAATGATTGTGTTCAGGCTAAGGTAGGTGGTTGATCACAAAATGCTCCACAAAATCAATACAAAAAAAAAATCATTTTAGGTGTGCTTAACATATAATACTTTGTAATAACTCTAAGATGTGCGTTCATATTTTAGCATGACAAATCAGGATTTCCAGTGTGCTTTTGTTCTTTATACAGTCTGTGTTCTCTTTTCCTGCAAAAACAGAATCCATAGCACAGTTATGTATGCTTTTATTTACTTCACAAGTTGCTTTTCACTTGAAAGGTTTTTAATAAACAAATGAAACCAAAAGGACGTTTTAACTGTCAAATTATTCAACGCTGGGTAGTCCTTTTAGCCTACGGACCTGGCCGAGAGCCACGATACGCCAGGCTAGATATGTGTAATAAGACGCAGGCGTGCTTTATGTATTTCTCTACACACCCTTGTGAGTTATCAGCTTGACACATGGTAGGCGATGTTTATTTTCGGCCCTGTTTATTTTCACTGAAAATGCTGAAAAATTGTGCAACTTTCAAGTTCTCAGTTTAAAAACCAACACCCGATTTGTTCCATTGAAATTTTATGTTGATCTGTGTTCACCTGAGCAGTGTTGCAATGCTAAGTGAATGGGGAAAAAAATAAAAATTTGGAGCATCTGCTCTCTGGCAGTGACTCTGACTTGCCCTCTAAGATGTTCAAAATTTATACAGCTCCACAAACCCAGGAGTAACACAACCTAACTTCAGTTTCCTGTGCTCTTGTGTCTGCACTGAAGGTTTTAAGTTGCGTTCGTCGATTTGCTGTGTGTTGTCCCTGGCACGCACGGACCTACCCCCACCCCAATAGCATCTACCTTTACCTCCTTGTGTTGACAGTTAGTGGTTTTCATAGAAGTAGAGCTATGATTAACTGAGCTTTGCAATGGGTCTTGTTTCTATCATCTTTTGAGTTGTTTGAAAGTTTTGACATTCTTCATTTCTTTGTCACTGAATCCACACTTTCCATTTCTGTCCCAACTGTCCACATTTATAAACCTCTATATGTGTACCTCAAATCACATGCAGCTTTTGGTATCCTTAGTATCTGTGCTCTTTGTAGGTTATTAGACTCTATGCAGGAGATGCCAGTTCATGGTAAGTCATCCTCTGAAGATGTCCAGCATCCTGACGAAAAGAGGTAGATATTGTTTCAGCTTTACTGCTCAACATCTGTTACTGTCACTGTAAATTGTCTCATTCTGGTGTTTTTGGATTCATACTACAGTTTGGAGAAAGATTTCTGGTCTTTTTTTTTTTTTTTTTTTTATTAACAAAGTTTTGTTGATGTTGAATTGTTGAGAATATGGTATGTTGTATTAAACAATCTATGGACATTTTTCAAACACATGATGTTCCTATCTTGATTTATAAATCTTGGTTTTAAAGGCTTGACTAAAACGACAGCTGTGTATTGGTGGGGCTGAGATAATGGTTAATAGCGGTGACATGATGATTACTGTTCCAGGTGCTGAGACTTCATCACTATTGTAACATTGTGACTTGTGCTAATTAATTCACTTACTGCCCACTGTAACCTGCCAGTCCTATTGATCTCGTTACAGTGTCTTCTAATACTATTATTAACAATAATGATGAATATTATCTGATTATAATATAATTCCCCTTTAATGGTTACTAATCAAGCACAAGCTAAAGTCTGTCTGAACATTTGTATGCACTTTTTGTGTATCAGTGACCAAATTAGCAATTTAACATTTGAGTCCTTTGACTGAATACCTCATTACATGATGATATATACTGCAAAGTAATTAAATGTCATATGTTTCAGCACAAATTACTTGCTTAAAGGGGAAGTGGTTGTTCACTCATTCACTCTCATGGCCTTTAAACATTAATTATCCCCCCATTATTAAAGGACCACAGACATTATGATACAGGCAATATTATTAATTTGGATTGCACATTTGTAATCTTAAAGTGACAATACTGGTAATAATTAACCTTGAAATGAAACAAAATATAGTAGCTGTTTTATAGTGAATAATAGTTTTATTTTGGAGTGTCTCTTAGTGAAACAAGGGCAAAATAGGCTGCCATTTGAAGGTTATGGGAAATGACCAGGGATACGAGTAGGACAGCCCATTTCATAAAACATGGCCCTGATCTGCATTAAGTTTGGATCTCTGTCCCTTTCCTTTTTACTCCACATCCTTGCTGCCTTGGTTAGGACTCCATGGAGAGTTTTGACATGCATTTTTTACTCAAGCTGTATCAAAGCATACTCATTTATCTTCCGAACAGAAAACAGACAGGCAGAATAGAAGAGGACAGGAGCTATTCTTGAGGTCTCAGAGCCTCTGGGAGTAATGGAGACATCCATTGTTTCCATTCTTTACATATTAGATGTGTGTTTAAAATTCTAGGTCAGAAAGAGGCTGATGGATTCTGACACTGTGCGACAAGTCACCTCTCCTCAACTGAGCATGAAAACACAGACACACCTTTGGGTGTTTCTTGCACTCATCAAAATCCATGTGCTTAACTACATCTGGGAAGCACTGTATATATGCAAAGAAACGTGTGAATTTGCTGGTGGCGGTGCTTCTGTCACATAACAGAAGTTTCAGATGCCTAAAATAAAAAGCAAATCACTTGAGATTCGTGATGCTAAATCTCTATTTATAGCAGGTTTGCTGTTTTTGCTGTTTCTCATGTCCATATCATATCCATATAAAAGGGTCCACTTTAAGCCCTTTTTTGTGTCTGTGGGGTACAATACGTTCCCATACTGTATTACTACTGCATGTTAACTCCTCTATTAGCAAAACCCATATTTTACATTCCTGGTCAAATTGTGATATCTCAAGCTACTCCCACTACTTACAGTAACTAAGGGGGTGAGGGGTGGTACAAAGTCAAACAAGAGAACCAATCAAAAGCAACACTCAAAAATACATACATGCTGCCAAAATACTGGAGGTCAAAAATACATACATGCTGCCAAAATATTGGAGGCTGTCTAGATGTAGAGACATTCCTTGTAAGCCATCCTACCCATGATGGTGTTATTTGTCCCAGAAGCCTTGCTGGCCCACATTGTCTGAAAATATGCCAAACAAAGGCACTCCGTAAGGCGAAAAGATGCAAAGCAACAGAAATAATGTTATATATACATAAGCTTTTACTGAGAAGAATATATTGAGATGTTCAGATGTACTTCTTTGTAATCAAGAACATGTTTATTAGTAACTAGTAGTAGTTTTCCTAGTATTACTAAGGAAAAAGGAGGAAGGGAGAAGAAGAAGAAAAGAAAGTATAGTTGATAAATAAACAAATACAGAAAGGCTACTGGAAGAATGTGTGCCCCAAACCACCGACACCAGAGTCACCATCAGTCATGATGGTAAATCAGTGTTAAGAATAGTAAGAATGTTATTTTATGTATAAATATGTATAAGTAATATAATTAAAAATTGCAAAAATATTAAGTTAATTAATATATTTACATAGTTAGAAGTGAGTTAAATAAGGGTGGGCCATCAATTTCACAGAATAAATAAATTATCATTATCATAATAATAATAATAACTTTGTACTTCTGACAAATCCTCAGGCTGGACATTTGCAGCTCTTCTAAAGAGACCAAGTCAAAATCAAAGCAGCAACACCCTGTCTTCAGAAGTGAGTAGAAATGTGTTGCTTTCTGTATGGTGTTGACTGAATTTCTCTTTTTAGGATTGTTTGAAAACTGGACATGACAGTTTATTGTGTTAGCAGCTCCAACTGGCTGACTGATAAAGTTAAGAGGCTACCATAGAATCCAGACAGCAGCAAGCCTGCTTTATGTTATTGTTAGCTGGGACACTGCTTTCCCAACAAAAGCCCAAATCCCATATTAACTTGTCCTCCACTTGCTCAAGTAAATTTCAGATGATTCCCAGGTGAAAATGACTTTCTGTTTACTACAAGGCCCTCACTAGCACAACAGTCACTGAGATTCTTCAGTCAAGTACAAAATACAAAAACAGGTGTAAACATGAACCAAAATGAAATCTTAAGTTTACATATGAAACATATGTGTATGGATACTTGTTCTTGAATAATCAAGCGTATAATCTGACAACCAGCACCTGTCTGACTTTTAACACACATGCTTAATATGAATATGATAAATACACACTTATCTAGTGAAGGATTTCTGAATTAAATGTATATATGTTCACTTCCAATGAAAAGTCAACTCCCTATACGTTGTCTCAAAACTGTAATTATCATATAATATGTGATGGTGGCTCTATTTATATTTGTGGCATAATATTCAGAATATTAATATTTGTTTGGTGTGCTTTAAGTTGAAAAGTGGATGAGACTTTGATCCTTCTGGGTTCAGGGGTTTATGTCTGGTGTGGCTCCCATGAGGGGACTTAGCTGTTGCTTTGATGTTGAGCAGACAGTTCTGCATAGTCAATAAACACCTCCCCAAGCCCTGCTGCAAAAAAAAGCCACCTGACTCCTCTGTGTTTCTCACTTTGATAGCTTTGCAATTGTTTAACTGTCTTGGCTGGCTCATGGCTATTGAGCATGCACCAGGATGGCATCCAAAAATACGATCTGTTAAGGTCCATTTTTGCCTGGGCCATATGCCACAGCCCACGTCTCTGTAGGCGACTCAATCTACCCTCCTTATTTATTTAACAACCCTATGAAAGAGTCATGAGTTCCTAGTTCAAAATATGTGACAGCCAAAAGACTGCATCTGTCTGCCATTAAAACCATCTTTTTGGCAGCCTGCTAAAACAAACTCATGGCAAGCAAATGTCTATACTCAACCTATAATTTATGCTCACGTCAGGAGACAGCAGATTGTTTGCAGGCCAATTATCTGGAAAATTATTATCAAGGTAAATAGGTGAGGAGATGAGGGACTGAGCCATCCTACACTCCTGTTCTTCTTCCATTTCCCCTGTGCAAGGTGTGAATATGCCACTGTGAAATAACTGAGAGCTCAGTTGTTGTTTCACCTTGAAATGGCAAAGCATACTACAAATTATTTGGCTTCTGCCTACTTGCCTCAAGGACAGCGGGCTGCTGAAATTTGATGGGGCAACTGAGGCAGGTGCTGTTGGGAGATAGACGATGTGATCTGATGAAAACAGCAGAGCCAGGCTGCTGCTCCTATTTGTCAGCATTGTTCCAAGATATCTTGGTGAGTATGGGTTTCATTTTTCATTATTTTCTCCATCTTTTTTCTGATATGGTGTTTTTATCAGTCGCTGTAGTTTTCCCAAGAGCCAACCATCATGTTATATCAGTGATAAAGGTTCATCTTATTTTACTTGAATACCAAAACAAAAAAGATTTGTAGAAATAAAATCAGTTCCTGTTGAGACATCTGATATTATTTCATAGTTTTACATCCTGAAAAATGTGATCCATTCAGTCTGTGTTCATGTGGTTCAAGTTAAATTTGTAACTGTACATTAATTTTGTGATATTTTATAGAGTTCAGATTCTTGAACCATGACATATTAATACTGTATGTACTTGCTATAATACTTTCACTTAAATTAGCTCATTTGTATTCATATTAATTAGACAGTATTGTAATTTATTACTGTACTTCAAGAAAGCTAGGGGGCTTTCATGAGACAGATTAAAAGAAGGCTGAAATATTTTGCCTTTCAGCTCCAATACACCTGTTCCTACACTTCCCATAATGCAGCTCAATAATTTCTTTCATAACTGTTTTCACAGGCTTTGTAGTACTCTGTGAGACTTGTAGATTTACACAAATGTAAAATCAGTGAATGCACCTCTGATATTTTCAATTTACTGTATATCCTCATTAGCAAACACAACAGGGATCCAGGGATCCTTTTCTTTAAGTTGACATTAGGGTAGTTTGGCCATGAAGTCCTGATTTTAACAAACTACTGTGTAATGGAGAGTGCACCACACTTGTCAGCTAACATTCTTAATAGTATCTTAAGGCAATACCCTAAAGCTATCTGATTCCCAAGCCTCAACACTATTGGTTTAGTCTCTTTAGCAGCTAATTGATCAATTGAAGTTAATGACTGGCCGGGGTGTTCACAAACTAATGTTCCCAGGTGTATGGTTCCAGAGTAGAAAGGAAGAGTAATAATCAAGTCAAAGGTTGTCCTGGAGATGTTTGACTGTCTTGGCCTTTGCTCACTGCTTATTAATGGTCCATGGGTGCACAGGGGAATGGGATCAAAATTCAAGTACAGCATTCTCCCTCAAGTGCCTCCCTCCTAACTGTAAAAATGTCTTTGTGTTTGTTTT